TAATTTCTGGGTGATTCCCATTTTGTCTGGATGATGCCATCCTCACTTCCAGGTGATTCCCATAATTTCTGGGTTATCCCCCTCTTCCCTGGGTGATCCCTGCTTTCCTTGGATGATCCCGCCTGCACTTCCAGGTGACTCCCATCTTTTCTGGGTTATCCCACCCTCAATTCCTGGGTGATCCCATAATTTCTGGGTGATCCCATCCTCATTCTTGGGTGATTCCCATCATTTCTGTGTGATCCCATCCTCACTTTCAGTTGATTCCCATCATTTCTGGGTGATTCCCATCATTTCTGGGTGATCCCATCCTCACTCCTGGCTGATTCCCATCTTTTCTGAGTGATCTCCCTCTTCCCTGAGTGATTTTTCCTCTCCCTTTAGCAATCCCAGCTCTCTCTGGATGATCCCACCCTCACTTCCTGGAGATTCCCATTTCTCCTGGGTGATCCCTGCTCTCCCTGGGTGATCCCACCCTCACTCCTGGATGATTCCCATCTTTTCTCGCTGATTCCCATCATTTCTTGGTGATCCCATCCTCATATCCAGGTGATTCCCATAATTTCTGGCTGATTTCCATAATTTCTGGGTGTTTCCCATCATTTCTGGGTGATCCCACCCTCACTCCTGGATGATTCCCATATTTTTTGGATGATCCCTCTCTCCCTCCTCTCCTCCCAGCGATTCCCTCTCTCCCAGCCCGATCCCCCATTCCTGGAGCACCACTCAGAGCCAAAAAAAAATCCCAAATCCCGCTCTCCCCAAACCATCCTCCCTCCAACTCTCCCAAACAGCTGCCAGGAGAGTAAAACCAGACCCTAAATCCCCCTTTTTAACCCCATTTCCAGCAGGATTTCTGCAAGATCCCGGCCCCGCTCCCAGGAATGCTGCAGCATTCCAGCTGCGATCACACCGCGTCTCTTCCCATCTCGTCACATTCCCTCCTCGCCGGGATGAATCATCCTTCCCCCTCCCTTCCCAAACATCCACAGGCACAAAAAACAAATCCCAACCCTGGTGGCCCCTTCCCTTTCCTTCAGGGTTCCCGTCACATCCACATGGAAAAGTCAGGAGCAGCTTCCTCGGAATTTAAGATTTAATTGCAAGAATTTGTCTTGGAATTAAAATCCAGCCCAAGGAGGGGCTGGAAAGGATTTGTCCCCTGTCCCAAAAATATAATAAAGAGCCAGGAGATGCTGTTGATTGGGATTCACCACCAAAATTCCCTAAAATTCTGGAAGCTGCTCTGGGAATGAATCACCAGAAGCAGCCAAAATCCTGGGATTGCTGCAAAAGTCGGATTTATCCCAGTTTGGAGGAGCTGGGTGGGGACAGGAGGGGCTGGCCGTGACTTTTCCCTCTCCAGGTCACATCCAGGTGGGATCAGCACCTTCCAGACCCGAAGGGGGCTCGGAAAAGTCGGTTTAAAGCTCTTGGAATCCCCGAGGAAGACATCCTGGCCGTGAAAAACCAGGAATGAGGAAAAGGGAGACGCCCGAGTGTGAAACCATCGCTAGAGAGAGGAAGGGGAGGAATTTGGGAATTCTGGGTGGCTGGGAAGAACTGGGGAGCCAAGAAGGTTCTGGAAACTGGGAATTGGCTGCAGGGGAGGAAAAATGGTGTGAAAAGCAGGGAAAGGAATTTAAGGAGACAGGGATGAAGGAGGGAAGGGGGAGAGCAGAGCAGAAGCGACAGCGCCCGGCCCACGGGGTGGGAATTTTCTCACCCAGGGATGGAGGCAGCAGCCGGGCTCCAGAGAAAAGACGGGAATTTCATCCCTAAGGAAAGGCTGTGACCTCCTAGCCCTGGCACCCTGCTGGGCACATCCTCCGTGCCCAGGGGACAAACGCTGACCACGGAGAGAGCCTGGGAAGGGGGATTTGGGAAAGGGGGGATTCGGTCAAGGGGGATTTGGGAAAGGGGGATTTGGAAAGGGGGATTTGAAAAGGGGGATTTGGGAAGGGGGGATTTGGGAAGGGGGATTTGGGAAGGGGGAATTGGGAAGGGGGAATTGGGAAGGGAGAATTGGGAAGGGGGAAGTGGGAAAAGGGATTTGGGAGGGGGGATTTGGGAAGGGGAATGTGGGAAGAGGAATTTGGGAAGGGGGATTTGGGAGGGGGGATTCGGAAAGAAGGATGCTGGGAAGGGGGATTTGGGAAGAGGGATCCTGAAAAGTGGGATTTGGGAAGAAGGATTTGGGAAGTGGGACTGGGGAAGGGAGATTAGGGATTTGGGATTTGGGAAGAGGAATTTGGGAAGAAGGATTCTGGGAAGTGGGATGTGTGAAGGGGATTAGGGAAGGGGGATTGGGGAAGGGGGATTTGAAAAGGGGGATGTGGGAAGGGGGATTGGGGAAGGGAGATTTGGGATTTGGGAAGAGGAATTTGGGAAGTGGGATTTGGGAAGTGGGATCCTGGGAAGAGCAATTTAGGAAGGGGGATTTGGGAAGAGGGATTTGGGAAATGGGATTTGGGAAGGGGGATCCTGCGAAGAGTGATTTGGGAAGGGGGATGTGGGAAGGGGGATTTGGGAAGTGGGATCCTGGGAAGCGGGATTTGGGAAGGGGGATGTGGGAAGGGAGATTCGGAAAGGGGGATCCCATGCCAAGGACACACAGGTTGTCCCTTGTCACCTGTGTCTCCCGGCTCTGTGGAGGTGACACCGGGACCCCAGGAGGAGGAATCCTGGGAAAAGGGAATTGCTGTGCAGCTCCAGCTCCCTGGAATCCCCTGCTCCCGCTTTGCACAATTCCCTCCCCACGGATCTGTGGAGGGGACACTGGGACAGTGGCAAGAGGGACCTTGAGGAAGGGACCCCTCACCATGGGACAAAGCTGTCCCTGCAGTGTGACACGGCCAAGGCCACCTGTGACAGTGCCAGCTCCACGGGGGTGACACTGGGACCTCGGGAAGAGAAATCCTGGCAAAATGAGCCCTGGGAAGAGGGATTCCAGGAAAAGGGACTGACCCCAAGAATAGGGACCCATCAGGGGCTGCCTGTGTTGGGGACAAAGCTGTTCCCACAGAGTGACACGGCCAAGGCCACCCGTGACCCTCCTGGCTCCGTGGAGGTGACACTGGGACCTCGGGAAGAGAAACCCTGGGAAGAGGAACCCCAAGAAGAGGAATTCCAGGAAAAGGGAACCCCTCACCAGGGGGACAAAGCTGTGACACAGCCAAGCCTACCCATGTCATTCCCAGCTCCGTGAAGGTGACGCTGGGACCTCGGGAAGAGAAACCCTGGGAAGAGGAACCCCAGGAAGAGAGTTCCCAGGAAGAGGGACCTCAGGAAGAAGGACACTGGGCAAAGGGACCCCTCATCAGGGGGACAAAGCTGTTCCCACAGAGTCACACGGCCAAGGCCACCCGTGACTCTCCTGGCTCCGTGGAGGTGACATTGGGACCTCGGGAAGAGAAATCCCGGGAAGAGGAACCTCAGGAAAAGGGACCCAGGGAAAGGAACCCCTCACCAGGGGACAAAACTGTTCCTGCAGTGTGACAAAGCCAAGGCCACCCATGACCCTCCTGGCACCATGGAGGTGACACTGGGACCTTGGGAAGAGAAATCCCGGGAAGAGGAACCCCAGAAAGAGGAATCCCAGGAAGAGGAATCCCATGAAAAGGAACCCTTCACTAGGGGACAAAGCTGTTCCCACAGAGTGACACAGTCACCTGTGACCCTCCTGGCTCCACGGAGGTGACACTGGGACCTTGGGAAGAGAAACCCGGGGAAGAGGGACCCCAGGAAGAGGAATCCCAGGAAGAGGAACCCCAGGAAGAGGAACCCCAGGAACAGGAACCCCAGGAAGAAGAATCCCAGGAAGAGGAACCCCAGGAAGAGGAATCCCAGGAAGAGGAATCCCAGGAAGAGGAACCCCAGGAAGAGGAACCCCAGGAAGAAGAATCCCAGGAAGAGGAATCCCAGGAAAAGGAACCTCTCACCAGGGGGACAAAGCTGTTCCCGCGTGTGACACGGTTGGTCACCTGTGACCCTCCTGGCTCCACGGAGGTGACACTGGGACCTCGGGAACAGGGAACACAAGGCCACTTTTCTCCCGACCACAGCACAGCCAAATCCCACCCCAAATCCTCCTTGTCACCAAAATCCCCCTATTCTACCCCTCCAAAAAAATCCCGGAGTGCCGATTTCCCGCTCACCCAGCAGCAGGATTCCCCCCAGTGCCACCCCTCAGAGCCAGGGCCTGGCTGCCCATGGCTGGGATGGGTTTGTTCCATAAAAAGGGTTGGAAAACTTGGAATTATTTCCTGTACAAATGCCATTGCCAGACTTGGCAGGAATGGGGTGGACAAGGCAGAATATTCATAATTATTCTATTACATTCTATTATTATTACATAAACACTATTATTAATATTATTTAATTAATTCTGATTACTATTTAATAATACATTTCTAAGCCAAAACCAGCACGATCCATCAGAGGCACCAACCTCAGAGCTCACCCCACTCATTCTCCCAGCTCTCCCCAGCACAGGAAAACCAGGAAAATCCCTTCCCATCATCCACGGAAGGCGATGGAGAAGAGACCCAGGGCTAATTCCTGGATTGCTGGGATTGGGGTGCTGGAAAAGCGGGAGCAGCCCCCACAGACCCCAATCCCCACCATATCCCACCTCAGGTCACTGCTGTCACCCCCTGCTCCTTCCTCTTCCCGCTTTTCCCGGGATCATGGAATGGGTTGGGTTGGGAGCAACCTCAAAGCTCATCCAACTTTGGGTCCAACCTCTCCTTGACCCTTTGCCGGACATTTGAGGGGAGACACCACCAGCTTGGGGGTGTCCCCACAGACCCCTCAGGGCTGTTCCCAGCCGTATCCCAACCGTTCCAAGGACGCGATGGAGGAAAACCATCGTCGGGAACGCCGCGCGCATTCCGTCGCCGCCTCGCTCCGCGCATCTGACGGCTCGGGGACGCGGCCACCAGCGCGGGGACACGGCCACCGCGATGTCCCCAGCCCCGAGGAGCCCCCGCGGGTCTCACCTGTGTCTCGGAGAGGTTGAGCTGCCGCGCTAACTCCGTCCTTTCCCGGCCCACCACGTACTGGCAGCGCTGGAACTCCAGCTCCAGGCGGTAGAGCTGCTCCGCCGTGAAGGACGTCCGCGTCCGCTTGGGCCGGTCCAGGTCCAGCCCCTTGGGCAGCACGATCTCACGGATCGTCCCTTTGGCATCTGGGAGGAAAACAGGGAAAAACGGTCAGGAAAAAAAAAAAACAAACCAAAAAAAGTGAAGAAATCCATCCAAAAATCCAAAAGTGCGGTCAACGGGAGTTGGGAAAATGCAGCATTTCATCCTGGGAATAATAAATTGCAAAGCCAGGAGCAAAAAGGAGATTGATGCCAAGGAAGAACTCAAATTAAAGATCATTTGATTATTTTTTAAATGTAATTTTTATTTAATTTTTGATGGGGAGATCCATCAGGGAAAAAAATAAGTGAAGGAATCTGTCCAAAAATCCAAAAATGTGGTTAACAAGTGTTGGGAAAAAATAGAGTGTTTAATCCTGGGAATAATAGTTTGGAAAGTGTGGAGCAAACAGGACATTGATGCCAAGGAAGGATTCGAATTAAGGATTTTTTAAATGTAATTTTTATTTAATTTTTGATGGGGAGATATCTGTCAGGGAAAAAAATAAGTGAAGGAATCAGTCCAAACGTCCAAAAATGTGGTTAACAATTGTTGGGAAAATGGAGTGCTTCATCCTGGGAATAATAGTTAGGAAAGCCAGGAGTAAACAGGAGATTGATGCCAAGGAAGGATTCGAATTAAAGATTTTTTTCTGTAATTTTTATATAATTTTTCACTGGGAGAATTGTCAAGGAGAAAATAAAGTGAAGGAATGAGTCCAAAAATTAAAAAATGCAGTTAACAAGCGTTGGGAAAATGGAGCATTTCATCCTGTGAGTAATAGGAAAGCCAGCAGCAAACAGGAGATTTATGCCAAGGAAGAATTTAAATTAAAGATTATTTTTTCTGTAATTTTAATATAATTTTTTATATAATTTTTGACAGGGAGAACCATCAGGGACAAAAACAAAATGGAAGGAATTGGTCCAGAGAAAAAAAGCAAAACTGAAGGAATCGGTCCAAAAATCCAAAAACTGGGGGGAAATGGAAAATAAATGGAATTAAAGAGTGGCTGGATGTGGATAATCCATGGAATTCCCACAATCTGGAGCTAAATTGTGGCTTGGTTCTTCCTTCCAGCCCCAAATGCTGAGAGTTTATAAATATCCAGGGAAAGGTGACAAATTTCCGTGAATTAGGGGTTTTTAAAAGACATAAATAGAAGCCATAATATTTTTTTGGGGGAAAATGGAGTGCTTAATCCTGGGAATAATAATTTGGAAAGCCAGGAGCAAACAGGAGATTTATGCCAAGGAAGAATTTGAATTAAAGATATTTTTCCTGTAATTTATTATATAATTTTTGATTTCTGTCCTTCCTTGGGAATACTGGAAAAAATTCCTCTCTATTACAATTCCCATCTCTCCAGAATTATCCTCACTGCAGGAATATTTCCTTGGAAAGCTCAGCTCCCGTTTTGGGGCGGTTTCCTATTAAAGAAAAAGTTTGGGAAGTGCCGTGGGCGCTGAGCTGCTCCCGGCTGTGGATTTTATGAGGTTGGGAATATCCAGGGAAAGAAAACTTTGAGGGTTTGGGTGTGGGAAGTGGCTCGTGGCCATTCCAGACGAGCCCCCGTGGCTTCACTTCCCAGCAGGAAAGGACAAACTCCACCAAAAAAAATCCACAGGAATCCTGTTCCAGCTCCCAGGAATTAAAATGAGCCTCGGGAATCGCCCACTGGGATCTTCCCAGATCCCAAATCCCAACTGGGTTTGGGTGAGCCCTCCCTGCAGAGCTCACAGGGGCTTTTCCAGAGGGTTAAAATCCAGCCAGGAAGTCGCTCCAAGCCCTGATTTTGGGATGCTGGATCCCAATTCCAGAGGGATCCCGATTGGAGGTCAATGGCTCTCCCTCCATCTGGCTGAGTCGGGCATGAAGGGATTACAAAATTCCTGGGGTAGGAAGGAGGAAAACAGCGAGGAAAAGCTGGGAATGGGGTGATGGAGATGGGGTGGGGATGGCAGAGATGGGAATGGTGGCACCAGGATGGAAATGGTGGTGCTGGGATGGGAATGGTGGCACTGGGATGGGGGTGGTGGCACTGGGACGGGAATTGTGGCACTGGGATGGGAACGGTGGCACTGAGGATGGGAGTGGTGGCACTGGGACGGGAATTGTGGCACTGGGATGGGAACGGTGGCACTGGGATCAGAATGAGGGCACTGGGATAGGAGTGGTGGCACTAGGATGGGAATGGTGGCACTGGTATTGGAATGGTGGCACTGGGATGGGAGTGGCGGCACTGGGATCAGAATGGTGGTGCTGGGATTGCAATGTTGGCACTGGGACTGGAATGGGTGGCACTGGAATGGGAACGGTGGCACCGGGATTGGAATAGCAGCACTGGGATGGGAAGGGTGGCACTGGGATTGGAATGGTGGCACCAGGATTGGAATGGCGGCGCTGGGATGGGAGCGGTGGCACTGGAATGGGAATGGTGGCACTGGGATGGGAATGGTGGTGCTGGTATTGGAATAGCAGCACTGGGATGGGAAGGGTGGCACCGGGATTGGAATGGCGGCACCGGGATTGGAATGGCGGCGCTGGGATGGGAGCGGTGGCACTGGAATGGGAATGGTGGCACTGGGATGGGAACGGTGGCACTGGGATTGGAATGGCGGTGCTTCCATAGGATCAGCAGAGCCAGGATGAGGGCGGCGGATCCGGCACTGGGATGGGAATGGGGGAATGGGGACCAAACATGGATTTGGGAAAGGGACCCCAATCCCGGAGCCGCGCTCCCACTGTGGAGCTGCGGGACAGGCTGAGGCGCCACCCCGGAATGCGGCACCGGAGGAGTCCCGAGGGCTTGGGGACACCCAGGGTGGCACACGGGGTGGCGACACCTGACCCACACCCCAAACCCCACGGGCTGGCGTGGAACTGCCAGGAAGGAAAGGGGCTGTCGGCGGATCAGCGGCTTTTCCGGCGGGATCAGAGCCGGGAACCATTTTGTGTGGGAAGCGCCGTGGTGGTGACGATGCCCAGGCCACGTCCGCACTCCCGTGCCCACATCCGTGCCCACGTCCGTGCCCACGCCACGGCCCCGGCACAACAACAGCCGGGAATGCCGGGGAACGCCGGATCTGGGGCCGCAGCTGCGGCCTCGGCTCCAGCTCGGGCATTATTTATTGTTATTCCCTGGCAGCTGGAGCAGCTCCGGAGGGATGGCAGGGAAAAGGGCACGGCCGCGGTGCCAGCTCGGCACGGGGGACACCAAACCCCTCGTCCCACCCCACTGACCTTCCCCAGTGGAGGTTTTGGGGTGCTCAGACCATCCCCCCCTTCCAGCCTTTGGAATGCCCTCCTGAGAGCCTTTTCTGGAGCCCCAAAAATTCCCAGCTCCTGCCTGAGGGGTTCCGGAGCCTTGGGCCTCGCTGGTGACACGTCCTGCTCTTGGGGACCAGGGTATTCCTGGTGGCTCTGGAGCCAGGACACAACCGGGATTGAAATCTCCCAAAAGAGCAGAGGGCACCCAAATCCATGGGGACACCTCACGCTGGCACAGGGACACCCCACACTGGCACAGGGACACCCCACGCTGGCACAGGACACCCCACGCTGGCACAGGGACACCCCACACTGGCACAGGGACACCCCACACTGGCACAGGGACACCTCACACTGGCACAGGACACCCTGTGCCCACCTGGGTTCCCGCACCAACACAGCTGCCAGGACATTTTGGGGCGCACACCCGCCCTGCCAGCCCTCAGGGTGTCCCCTCAGTGCCACGGGGTGGCCGTGGTGGCACCAAACGCCACTGCGGTCCCTCCACGTGCTCTGCGGCCACCGGGCCCTGCACTGGCCCAGCCCCGGGAGGGGACACGGGGGAGCATCCCGGGATGTGTCCCCAGCCCCGTGGGGCTGCTGTGGCCCCGGTGACACCGGGACCGGCCCCGGGGTTGCCCAGGTCCCTCCTTGTCCCGTTTATCCCCGGGAGCCACCCCCGGCGAGACGGGGACGGCCGGGAGGTGACCGGGAGGTGACCGGGAGGCTCCGTCCCGCACGGACCATCCCCGGTACCGCGGGATCATCGAGCGGACCGAGACCCCGAGAGGACCCCGTCGGTGTGAGGGGGTCACCAGGACCCCCCGACTTCACCGAAAGCACCGCGGGCGAGCACCGGGGCTGCACCGTGGCTGCACCGGGGCTGCACCGAGGCTGCACCGGGGCTACACCGAGGCTGCACCGAGGCTGCACCGAGGCTGCACCGAGGCTGCACGGGGGCTGCACCGAGGCTGCACCGAGGCTGCACGGGGGCTGCACCGGGGCTGGCGGCAGCTCCGCGGCCTCCGCTCCTCACCGAGGCCGGGGCTGGCGGGGCCCCTTTCCCTGGGCAGGCAGCGAGAGCGAAACTCAAAATATTAAAAAAGAATCCTTTTAAAACATAAAAATGAGCATTTTAACGTCCCGCTTCGCACGAACCCCACCGGGAGGCTCTGCCCGGGCCCAGCCGCTGCTCGGCCCCGGCCCTGCCCGGCTGCGGGACCGGGTGGGGACCGGCGGCTCCGTGTCCCCGCAGCCCGGGTGGCCCCGCCACGTTCCCCCCGCTTCATTTCGGCTCAGGCCCCGGTGATTTGCGGCGTTTTCTCCCCGCCACCATTTTGTCCGCACCGTGGCGGCTGCAGCAAGATGGTGAAACCGGGCGCTCCCGGTGAGGGTCCCCGGGGTCGGCGGGAGCCGAGACCCGGCCCCGGCCTTGGGCACCGATCCTCGCCCCTCTCCCGGTGCCGGCACCGTCGGGGCGGCCTCGGTGGGGCTGGAACCGGCGGAGGAGAGGCCTGACCCGAGCCTGACCCCGGCGGGACCGGCGGCAGCCCCGCTCGGCGACCCCCGGGGACGCGGGGACAGCACGGGCGGGACCCCGGGGCTCGTGGCCGAGCCCTGCCCGCTGCTCGGCCGCTGTCCCCGGTTCGGCACTGGGATAACCGAGCTGTCGGCGAAGGGCGCCTATCGCGACAGCCGGGAGAGAGGCTTGGGTGATGCCCGAGCCCGGGATAATGACGGGACAGGGACCCGGCTCCGGTCCTCGGCAAAGAGGACGGAGGTCACGGCCGCCGCTCCGCTCCCTGCCCCAGCGCTGCGCTGGGCACCGGGAGGCCTCGGCCCTGATCGCCGAGCGGCCGCCGAGCCGCTCCGGGCTCCGGCAGCGGCGGAGGAGCGGCGGGGACGCGGAGCATCCCCGGGATCCCGGGGCCGCGGAGCGCTCGGGACCCGCCCGCCTGCGACAGCCGCGCCAGGGCGCCCCAAACTTCTTGGGGTTCGCCACAAGCCAGAAGTGGTCCTGGCGAGTCCCGGGCCGGCGGGGACTGAGCGCGGGCTGCGGGATGCGGGATGCGGGATGCGGGAGCGCCGAGCCGCAGCCGGGGCCGAGCCGGTGATTTTATAAAGGGGAAAGAAAAAAAAAAAAATAACCCCCCCGTCGCCCGCCGCCGCTCCGTGACGCTTTTCTCCTGCGACATCGCTCCCAACGCCGAGCCGATGCTGTCCCCCCTCTCCCGCCACCCGCGCGTCCCCCGCGGGGCTCCGCCGGCCCGGCGGCTCCGTGACCCCGGGGCCGTTCCCCCGGAGCCCTCCCGGCCGTCCCCGCTGGGCACGGCCCCGCTCCGAGCCCGCTGCCGGCGGAGCCGGGGCTGGGGCAGCGGGCCCGGTCCGTGCCGCGCTCAGCGGAGCCGGGGCAGGAGCGGCGGGGCCGGGAGGCCGGAGGTCGCAGCCGGGAAGCGCCCGGGATGCGCTGGAAGCGGTGCCGGGGATGCCCCGTGCCCGCAGCGGGAATCCCGGGGGCGGGGGAAGCGGGGATCGGGGACGGGAGCGGGGAGCGCGCCCGTACCTCGCACCAGGATGCGGCGGCAGTAATCCGCCTCGCCGGTCCCCGACGGGCTCTCGGTGTCCGGGGCGCACTGCTTGGAGGAGCCGGGGCTGACCGCCGACGTTCCCGGGATGTCCTTGAAGCTGCCGGCGGCTCCGCCGCTGCCGCCGCCGCCGCCGCCGCCGGCGCGCAGGGCGCTCTCCAGCTCCGCCCGGGTCGGCAGCTTCTCCCGGGCCCTCCCGGTGGCCGCGGGCTCGGCCAGCAGCACGGGGCTCCCGCCGGGCTCGGCCCCTCCATCGCTCATCCCTGCGGGCGCCGCGGCGGGATCAAACATCAGGAGGCAGAGAGAGACACGGGGAGAGGGAGAGAGGAGGCAAGGCTGGGCGGGGGGGATGGGAGGGAGCCCCCCCGCCCCCCCCACCCTCCGCAGACCCCTTCCCCTCCCCGCCCCTCCCCGGCCCCCCCGGGGCTCGGCGGCCCCGCTCACCCCCATGGCCGGGGACCGCCGGGGGCCGTCGCCTGTCGCCTGTCGCCCTCTCCCAACCGGGGGCCCGGCATTTAAAGCGCGCACCCCCCCCCGCCGCTCCCCGCCCCGCCGGCCGGGGGTGGTACCGGCAATGGGGGGGACCCGTCGGGGCGTCCCGAGAGGGTGCGAGGCTGGGGGGGAGAAGGAGTTTCAAACTTTGACAGGCGGCCGAGCCCCCCCCAGCACCCCCTCCCCAGCTCCACCTCCCGCAGCACCTCGCTCCGGGCAAACTTCAGGCGCTCCGGCCGCCGCCGCTGCCCTTCCATGGAGCGCCGGTACCGGTGCGGGTCCCGGTGTCGGTGCCGGTACCGGCGGGAGCGGGCGACGGGAGAGCCGCCGGCGGTGCCAGGGCTCGCCGCGCCGCGCTTGGGATTCGCGTGCGGGGGAAATCAATACCGGGAGATTGGGGGCGATGATTTTAGGGGGGTGGTGGGGAGGGAGGGGTGCGGGGGGCGGGAGGGGAGAGGGAGGCCGAGGGGAGGGAGCTGCGGAGGAAGCGGCCGGGGGTGGGACCGGCGAAGAAGCCGGGTCCTTATTCCTCCGGCCCGGCCCTCCCCCGCCGCCGCGCTCCGCTGCGCATCCCCCGGCGGCCGCCGCCGCCGCAGCCGGCAGCGGGGAGCGGGCGGCCGAGCCCCCTCCGCGCCGGGGAGCGGCTGGGGGCGAGCGGGGGGCGAGGAAAGAGCCGATTTTAAATTAACGGCTCGGTACAGACGCAATTTCCTGCCCTCCCGTTCCGTGACACCGATTGGTAAACAAAGAGCCCCCTCGGCGGCCGCTGCCCGGCTCCGACAGCGGCGGCGGCTCCGGTTCCCGGTTCCTTCTCGGGGGGGCTCACCCTGGGGACCCCCGCCCAGCTCGGGCAGAGGTGGCAACGAATAAAGAAATCCCTCGGCCCCGGCGGGCGCTGCCCCTCCCCGGGCCGGGCGGGGGTCGGGGGGCTCCGGTTCCGTTTCCCCGCGCTGCCCCGCAGCTACCGGAGAGTCCCCGCTGCTCCCGGGGTTACCGCGCTGCCGCCCCGGGATGGGGCAGCGAGGGAGCCCCGAAATTCCCTGATCCGGCACAGCCGCTCCCGGGCACCGGCACCGGCACCGGCACCGAGCGGGGCGGCTCCCGGTTTCCAGCTGGGAGTGCCGGACCCGGTTTGTGCGGGGGAGTCCCGGGGGTCTCCCCCGCCTCGAGGGGCTCCGTTCCGCCGCTGTGGCCGCGACGGGGCAAAACCGGGCGGAAAAGGCGGCGGCGGCGGCCGCGGTGCTTCCCGGGGGCGGCCGCCCCCCTCCCCGGTACCGCCTGGGATCGGAACGGTTCTAACGGCGGCGGATTGAAAATAAATAAATTAAAAGTTTAAACACAAGCAACCCCGAGATTTCGCAGCCCCTGCGTTCCGTCGCACCCACGGCCCGGTACCGGGCACCGCCCCGGGCTGGGGAGCCCGCAGGGGTCTGGGTAGGGCCCGAGCACCGGATAGAGCCCGGTAGAGGCGGGAGGTGCCCGGTTCGGGCTCTGGAGGGCACCGGGAGTTCAAGGCCTTGGGCTGCAGCGGCCGCTGGATGTCCGAGCCTGCCGCGGCCTGGGCCCGTCCCTGAAATAACCGGAACAGCGCGGGGAAAACAGCAGGAAAAACAAGAAAATTCGAAAGGGAAAAAATAAAATTAAAAGGCGAACTAAACCTGCAGGGATAAGGAAAGTAAAAGGAAAGAAATCAAAAGGGCGAAAAGGGGAAGGAAATAAAGCGAACGAAAAGGGCCGAGCGGGGAGAACGCAGGGGACGGGCCCTGCTCAAGGCCGGTGGTCCCGGGCCGCAGCCCCGGTTCTGCGGGGCCCGGAGGGGCGAGCGGGGACGGAGCCGCCGCTCCGGGGAAGGTGCTGGCGGTCGGAAACGATTCCCGGCTCCCCGTTCCCGGTTCCCCGCTGCCGCTTCTCCACTCCCGGGGCTGCGGCAGGCCGGGGCCGGACAGCCGGACAGCCGGACAGCCGGACAGCCGGGCTCCGCCGTGCCCCACCACCGGGCCCGGTGGTGGCTGCGCCATTAACCAACGATTTTTAACGAAAACGAGGAAAATTACCCCAAACCCAGCCCGCCCTGCGGCCTCAGCCCCTCGGGGCCGCGGGGAAAGGCTGCGGGCCGGTCCCACCGGGAAGACGGAGGGCGGCGATCGCCCGGGAGCCGCTGGAACGAAAATTCCTCCTTTCGCCGAGCCCCGGCCCCGAGCGGCGGCTGAGGCCGCGGAACGAGCGGCGGAGAAGCCGCCCCGGTGCCCGCTAAGCCGCCGGTGCCCGCTCAGCCCCCGCCGCCTCCTCACGGCTCCCGCTCCTTTCCTGCTGTTGTTTTTTGGTTTTTTTTGTTTTGCTTGTTTTGATTTGGTTTTTTTCCCGTTATCCCCAGGATTAACGTGAATAATAACGAGAAGGGATTTGCTTCGGGAGAAGGGGAAACGGGGAAAAGGGGAAAATACCGGGGGCGAGCTGCCGGGAAGGGGAAGCGAGGAAATCCGCGGGCTCCCGATCCTCAAAAAACAACAATATTACAAAAATAACCCTAATTTCAAAATCCCATTTTTTGCTGCATGATTGTTGTTGTTTTCGGGGCGGGTTTAGCGCCGTTGTTGTTGTTTTAATTAGCGTTAATATTAGCGGTATTAGTGTCACTATTAGCCTTGCTATTATTAGTGCCGTTCCTATTCCTATTATTAGTCCTATTAACACCATAATTAGTCCTTATCAGCACCATTTATCGGTGTTTTTATTATCGATATTCCCGTATTTTTCTCGCTGCCGAGCACACCCAGCCCAGCCAAGCCCTGCCCGGGGTGGGAGCGGCCGCGCTCTCCCGGTGCATCCCCGTTCCCGCCGAGCCCCCGGGCCCGCCCCGCCGCATCCTCCGCTTCTCGCCGCTCCGGGAGCGAAAAAACCCCGCGGAATTCCTCGATTTTCCCGGTTTAGAGCCGGATCCGCGCCACCCGGTGCCCCGGAGATGGAGGTAAGGCCAGGCTCGGTGAGCTCGGCTCGGCCCCGGGCCTGGCTGCGGGGAGGGTGCGGGAGCGGAGCCAGGGCTTCCCCCGGTACCGGACCGGCCGCTCCCGGTGGGTTCCGGGCTCGGAGGGCACCGGGAGTCGAGGGGGGGGACATTTCTGCTTGTCCCCGCCAAGGAACGGCTGCCCCGGGGACAGCTCCCGGTGGGGACCCCGCCGAGGGACCCCCGGGGCCGGGCTGGGCCGGGAGAGAGCGGCGGAGGCCGGGAACCGTGCGGGGCCTCGGCGGGAGCGGGGACACCGGGGGACAGCGTGGGGACACCCGGGGAGTGTGAAAACACGGGGGGACACTGAGGGGACGCGGGACTGTGAGGGGACATGGGGGGAATGTGCAGGGACACGGGGGGACCGTGAGGGGACACGAGGGAACCGTGAGGGGACACCGGGGACTGTGAGGGGACACGAGGGAACCGTGAGGGGATATGGGGGGACTGTGAGGGGACACGGGGGGACTGTGAAAACGCGGGGGGACACTGAGGGGACACGTGGGGACACGTGGGGACACGGGGGGACCCAGGACTGTGAGGGGACACGGGGGGAATGTGCAGGGACACACACGGGGAGAATGTGCAGGGGAGGGGACATCGGGGACTGTGAAAACATGAGGGGACACTGAGGGGACACGGGAACTGTGGGGAGACACCGGGGACTGTGAGGGGACACCGGGAACTGTGAAAACGCGGGGGGACACTGAGGGGACACGTGGGGATTGCGTGGGGACACGGGGGGACACTGAGGGGACACGGGACTGTGAAGGGACATGGGGGGAATGTGAAAAGGCCTGGGGACACTGAGGGGACATCGGGGACTGTGAGGGGACACAGCGAGATTGTGAGAAAACACTGGGGGAATTTTGTGGGGACACGGGGGGACCGTGAAGGGACGCAGGGGGACTGTGCAGGGACACAAAGGGACAGCGTGGGGACACGGGGGGGCTGTGAGGGGACACGGGGAGGAGTTCAGGGCTGTGGGGGAGCCGTGAAAAGCACGGGGGGACGGTGTGGGGACACCGGGAGCTGTATGGGGACACCCCAGAACTGGCTGGGGACACGGAGGGACTGTGTGGGGCTGGGCACGGATACGAGGGGACCGCGTGGGGACACGCGGGGCACGAAAACACGAGGGACAAGGCAGGAACACGGGGGGACCGTGCGGGGACACGGGAATTGTGTGGGGACACCGGGAATTGTGTGGGGACACCGGGAGCTGTCTGGGGACACGAGAATTGTGCGGAGACACGGGGAATTGTGTGGGGACACCGGGAATTGTGTGGGGACACGGGAATTGTGTGGGGACACCAGGAATTGTGTGGGGACACCAGGAATTGTGCGGGGACACCGGGAATTGTGCGAGGACACGGGAATTGTGTGGGGACACGGGAATTGTGTGGGGACACCGGGAATTGTGCGGGGACACGGGAATTGTGTGGGGACATCAGGAATTGTGTGGGGACATGGGGAACCTTGTGGGGACACCGGGAGCTGTGAGGGGACACGAGAATTGTGTGGGAACATGGGAGCTGTGTGGGGACACGGGAATTGTGTGGGGACACCGGGAATTGTGCGGGGACACGGGAATTGTGTGGGGACACGAGGAATTGTGTGGGAACACGGGAATTGTGTGGGGACACTGGGAACTGTGTGGGGACATGGGGAACCTTGTGGGGACACCGGGAGCTGTGTGGGGACACGGGAATTGTGTGGGGACACGAGGAATTGTGTGGGGACACCGGGAATTGTGTGGGGACACGAGGAATTGTGTGGGGACACCGGGAATTGT